TGCCTTTTTTTGCTTTTTATTGTCCTGTCACTGTTTGGCCTCCGTACATGCATTTGTTGCTAGTGCCATGTCCGTTGTCGTTTGCTGCTGCTGCTGCTTTGCTGTTCTGTTGTTCTGGATTCCATTTCTGCTGCAAAACTACAAGAAGGAAATCAGTCCCTTTTTTGCTTTTTCATGGAAAACAGAGGTGGCAAATCTATCTACAGATCATCATGAAAAGCCGGCTGACTTTGCATATATTTATTCAGAAAGGAACTATCAATGATAATATCCATGTGTTGTTCATATAGAATATGCAGAAAGGAACTATCAATGATAATATCCATGTGTTGTTCATATAGAATGAATTAGATATGCAATTTTTTTAACTTTTACCTGCTGTTCTATCCATATGTCACATGTTTTGTCATTCGTACCGTGCTTCATTAAATGTGAGCGCACAGCCAGGATGTCACAGGGTTTTATGTGTGCAAGCTGGGGAGTTACTAAATTATGCCATCATACTCTATATAGGTGGATTTACTACAAGGATGCTGCAGATTTGTTGGACAGATTCAGCCGCATGCTACATGATTGGCACTTAGTTTTTTTCCCAATAATTGCCAAATAGGAGTTCATATTGATTTTTTTAGTGAATGGCATGGAACACATACAAGTAAAATGAGTTAAATCATATTCAATTGTTGCGAATCATTCCACTTTTTCAAGTTTATTAGGAATACAACTTTGGTTGACTGTATACCAGTGCTGATTGAGATGCTATTATATACAACAACAACAACAATAACAGCAACATCAAGCCTTTGTCCCACTACTTGGGGTCGGCTACATGAATCACGTTTTAGATATCTTGGATCAATTGTTCAAAGTGATGGTGAAATAGATGGGGATATTATCAGCAGAATTCAAGTTGGATGGTTGAAGTGGAGGAATGCATCGGGCTTGTTATGTGATAGAAATGTACCCCTCAAACTTAAGGGAAAATTCTATAAGATGGTAGTGAGGCCTGCAATGCTTTATGGTGCCGAATGTTGGCCATTAAAAGAGAAGCATAATACTAAGTTAAGTGTGGCAGAGATGAGAATGCTCAGGTGGATGAGTGGCTTTACCCTTAGAGATAGGATACGAAATGAGCATATACGTGAAAAGGTTGGAGTAGCTCCAGTAGAAGATAAAATTAGAGAGAGTCGCCTTAGATGGTTTGGTCACATAAAACGACGGCCTTTCGATGACCCGGTTAGGAGAGTAGAGGTATTAGATTTGACTTATGTTAAGAAAGGTAGGGGTAGACCTAAAAAGACTTGGTTAGAAAATATTAGGAATGACCTTTCTTTATTAGGTTTAAATGAGAATTTGACTTTTAATAGAACACAATGGAAAAAAAGGATTCATGTAGCCGACCCCACGTAGTGGGATAAAGGCTTGATGTTGTTGTTGTTGTTGTTGTAAAGAAAGACCATTTCTAATATTTTCTAACTAAGTCTTTTTAGGTCTACCTCTACCTTTCTTAACATAAGTCAAATCTAATACCTCAACTTTCGTAACCAAGTCATCGGAAGACCCCCGTTTAATGTGACCAAACCATCTAAGGCGACTCTCTCTAATCTTATCTTCCATTGGAGTTACTTCAACCTTCTCACGTATATGCTCATTTCGTGTAAAACCTGAAAATGTCAATTTTAGACATTGCATGCTTTTCAATGCTTCGCGACAAAATTTAAGTGAATTTTTTAAAGTCGTCGGATTACGACGAAATTAATTTTATAAAATTGTATATAAAATTTCGAGCAAAACGATATAAATGACTTATAGTGAATTTCACTTAATTTGGAAGTTAAAAATCATAGAAGTTTCAATATGACTAAAATGTCCTTAATAATATTAAAGCGAAAATAAGTCTTGAGAGGATATTTAGAACATTAAGTAAATTAATTTAACAATTCCCTCTTAAGGGGACTGAAACTTATTCGGTCCCTATTTGTTTCACGCGGCCGAACTGAAGGGAGAAGGGGCGACGGGGGATTTCGTGGGCAGCTCCGGCGGCGGTTTCTGGCGGCCAAACTTTGAGAAAATTGTAGGGAGAGTTTTAGAAAGGCTTAAGGTAAGTTTCTATCCCTAAAACCCTCTCTTTTCACTTAGATTTTTCATGATTAAAATTTAGGGTTATGTCCAAAACTCAAAATCTTTCAAAGAAAATATTGGGAAATATTTAAGAATGATTCCTAATCATGAAAACATAATTTTCTCCAAATTTTTCTTAGAGATTTTAAAATTACGGTTTATCCAAATGTTGATTTTTATGAAATATCTTAACAAAGTTTATTCCTAAGGGTCTTAAGAAAATTCTAATGGCGAAATTTTGGGATTTTTCTCAAAATATTACTTTTCCTAATTTCTAATTAATTTAAATCCGAAAATTTGAAAGTTCTAATTATGTAATTAAATAATAGGGAAGATTTGACATGCTAAAATAAGAGATTAATGGAATTCATATTTCTAAAAATTAGGGCTTTTAGATAAATTTGAAAATAAAAAGTATTTTATGATTATTAAGCTTTTAATGAAGTTTAATGAGGGCTAAAATTATGATTTTCCTAAAATTAGGATTTATAAATTAAAATATACTTAAATTTGAAAATAAAAATTAAATTTTCATAGGAAGAAAGAGAGTAGTAAAATAGAAAAGTAAAGATTTAGGTTAAGATAATATGGATGTTAATTAAGGAAAAGAATCCTAATGTTAAAGAGGATAATGACAATGAAGATTAGATTAGTAAGGATTGGAGTAAGACTTAAAAAAAATTTGACAATCATAGTTACTTTATCTTTCTTAGGATTTCATAATGGGAGAGGAAATGCATTGAAGAAGGGGAAGCGGCAAATTTCATACATCCAAATTTCAAAGTGAGTAAACATGTTTCTATGTTATGGTAATTGTATCGTTTCAAATTTTCATTTAATTGTTATTGCAAGTTATTTACTTTCCTGCATTCCAAATGTTTCAATGATTCATCTCTCGTATAAGATAAAGCATAGTATTATAATATATGAGTATGATATGATTGATATATAGAATGACTACATATGTATATTGAAATGATGTAGCTTATCCTCTTATGGTGCTAGTTGGGGATGCCATACCCGTGCATGTTAAAATAGTAAAGGTTATGGAAAAGGATATGATAAATGAGTACCTTCATTGGTACTAGATGGTGGCTCATGTAAAAGTTGTACTATATATGAAAATAAGAAAGTTACGAATACATATATGATGAATATAAACTGAATATGATATTATATGTATTCATGATTTATGCATATGTTTAAATGATATATTTATAGGAAATAAAATTTAAGATGTGTAATGAAAAGTGAAATTAAATATATTACTTCTACTGCCTTGAATTATTGTAGTTTAGAAGCATGTGTTACTCACTAAGCTTTGACTTATTGTTGTTGTTGTTCTAACTTTTTATTTTATGTAAGTTTAAGATAATCTAATGAGTAGAAGAGACGAAAATGTGTACCGTAGGCGTGAGGCACCATAAGAAAGGTATTTAAGTTATTTTTATATCAGTTTATATTTTTGATATTTAGTGGCTCTTTCAATGAATTGAAAATATATTTAGATTATGATTTTATCGTCCAATCGTCTATTCTCTCATTAATTCGAGCCCCCGGGCCGGGTCGTGACATTTTGTATCCTATCTCTAAGGGTAAAGCCACTCATCCACCTAAGCATCCTCATCTCTGCAACACTTATTTTAGTATTATGCTTCTCTTTTAATGACCAACATTCGACACCATAAAGCATTGCAAGTCTCACCACCATCTTATAGAATTTTTCCTTAAATTTGAGGGGGTCTTTTCTATCGCACAACAAGCCCGATGTTTTCATCCACTTCAACCATCCAACTTGAATTTTGCTAATAATATCCCCATCTATTTCATCATCACTTTGAACAATAGATCCAACATATCTAAATGTGCACTCTTATTAATGACTTGATCGCTCAAAGTCACAATCCCCTCACTAGATCTATTGCTACTAAAATTATACTCTATATATTCAGTTTTAGATCTACTCAAGCGAAAACCTTTAGACTCTAAGGTTGACCTCCACGATCAAGTTTACCTTCAACTCCCTCTCTAGTTTTATCAATAAGAAGAATATCATCAGCAAAAAGCATACACCAAGGTACATCATCTTGCAAATGTCTAGTGAGAACATCCATAACTAAAGCAAAAACATATGGACTTAAGGCTGATCCTTGATGTAATCCAACCAAAATAGGAAAATACTTGGTCAAACCACCTTCTGTTTGAATAAAAGTAATAGCTCTTGCATACATATCTTTAATGATTTGAATATAAGTGTTATTAACTCCTTTCTTTTCAAGAACTCTCCACCGCACTTCTCTTGAAACTTTATCATTTACTTTCTCTAAATCAATAAATATCATATGTAGATTCTCCTTATTCTCTCTATATTTTTCCATCAAACCTCTCAATAAATGTATGACTTCCATGGTAGACCTACCAGGCATGAATCCAAATTGATTTTGAGAAACATTAGTACACGCCGCAATCTACACTCCATAGCTCGCTCCCATAGTTTTAAATTATGACACATTAATTTAATTCCTTTATAATTTGCACACTAATGTGCATCACTTTTATTCTTAAAAATAAGAATTAGCACACTCGTTCTCCACTAATCTGATATCTTTTTAGTCTTCAAAACAGTATTAAAAAGTTTAGTAAGCCAAAAAATTCCTTCATCTCCTAAGCATTTCTACATCTCTATTGGAATATATGATGTATTAAAATCTTTTCATATCCGAGTGCTTGAGTTACATAAAATTGCATTATGTATGATTGAATTCTACAAATAATTTTAGCTTTTTTAAATTTCTTGTAGAGGATTTGTTCCAAATATTATGTCCGTTTTATTTTTGTTGTTTATTTTAATATGAAGTATTGTATTTTTCTTGTTCTAGGGGCTCCAATTGAATTGGTTGAAGACCCAAAGTTTGTTCCATTAAATGCTGATGATCCAGTATTTGGTCCGCCGGTAAGCTATACCTGTAGCTGTTATGGTTTAATTTTATGATCATCAAACTACATGATACTCTTTTATGCATGAATGGTATTTAGCAATTCATTCTTAGGGAACATTACTCTATTAAAGGAGAATCTTTCTTGTGAAGTCAAATTCTTAGAATGTGGTTCCTTTTATGACTATGGGCCAGTTGCAAAATGGAAGATTTGTTGGATAACTTCCTTTTGGTGCATAAATCATGATTTCTTTGTTCTATTATGCCTGAAAAAGTGGAAGAAAGCGTTCTCTTAGTATCTCTAGTTGTAGGAGACTGGTAGTTCTTTCATCTCACTTAAAATAATAATAAAATCTAAACATTAGGACTAGGAAGATTTTCCTTGCACTTTTGTAGCTTGTAGGGTCAATTCTAAAAACTCAGTCCAGTCCAAACAACCATGATGATAGGGGGTATTCTTGCTTTAGATTCAGTTTGTAAACAAAGAAACAAACAGATTACATATTATATTTACGCAGTTATCAAGGATTCCCAAAATTGTCCTTTTTTTTAGTTGTTTTAATTTTTTTATCCTGAGCTAGCTTTGTTTCCCTATCAAAAGTGAGCCCTTTTTCTTGTGTCTTAAAAAAACAATGTAACACTTAGCTTGTAGCAAAATTAAGGTTGGATTATTTTTTATCTGCATTTAGCATGTTGATTATCATTGTATTACTGAGAGTTCCTCCTTTGAATATGTAATACATCCTAGGCATATTTTCTCATTTTATACTTTTGATAACTTACATCTTGAATTGTTAAACAAACGTTTCTTGTGATAGGCCTTATTTCTGATGGGTTTTGACTCGGCTGAAACAAGTAAGGTATTTATGCTTCTGATTTTTTTTTTCAGTTACCTTGAAATCTATTATATTTACATAGCATTATTTAACCATGGGTCTGATGTGTGATAGAAAAGTGCCTCTCAAACTTAAGGGAAAATTCTATAAGATGGTCGTGAGACCTGCAATACTTTATGGAATAGAATGTTGGCCATTAAATGAGAAAAATACAATTAAGTTGTTGCAGAGATGAGGATGCTCAGTTGGATGAGTCGCTTTACTCTTAGAAACAGATTGTGAAATAAGCATATACGTGACAAGGTTGGAGTAGCTCCAGTGGTAGATAAGATTAGAGAGAGTCATCTTAGATGGTTTGTTCACATAAAATGTTAGCTTTCTGATGACCTGATTATGCGAGTAGATGTTTAAATTTGGCCTATGTTAAGAGTGGTAGAGGTAGACCTAAAAAGACAGTTAGAAAATATCAGAAATGACATTTTTGGTAGATTTAAATGAGAATTTGACTCTTAACAAGACATAATTGAGAAAAAGGATTCATGTAGATGACCTCACTTAATTGAATAAAGGCTTGATATTGTTGCCGTTGTTGTTGTTGTCCTAATTAGTTTTCCTTCATTACATTTTTTCACTCTTTATTTTCTATTATAAGACCATAGTTGTTATATTGTCAATGTACAATCCTTAACTTAATAGCATTCCCTTGTTACAGAATAAAATAATGTGTTCCTGTTTTGATGCACGACTTGTTGTCTGGTTAACAAAAATCGATTTTAACTATGAACTTCTTACAATTACAGATGCAAAAATTCTTAAAAGAGCTGGATGGTGAATTTTTGAAGGTAACACAGTCAGTTACTAACTTTTCTATGGAAGTAAGAAAGACTATATATATATATATATATATACACACACACACACACACACACATTCATCTTCAAATAACTTAATTTTCTTGATAATACATTCATATGTTAGTTCAAGTCCAATGATATTGATCTACCTCACCATAGATGTAGTAGAAACTCCCGAATCTAATTTCATCATAATTTATGATTGAATATTGCAGACATGGAAGATGCCGATGGCCTCTATGCCTCTTTCCAAAATCATACTTTTATTCACTATTTTGGGAATCAGAATCGTTGAACAATTATTGAGCGTTAGAAGATACATGCCAATAAAGTTTGTATTTTTTACTTTTACAATGTGAAATATATGAATAATTTATCTTAATAGGTAACTCATCCATTATTGTGTTCACTTAACATACTTAATGCATGGGAAATTAAAAAAAAAAAAAAACTTTATGAATTATATCACTATTCTTATTATGGGACAGGTTGAATAGTTTTGATTTATCCATTAATAAATTCAAAGTAAATGAAGCCTACGCACAATCAATATCATTTAAATCTAAACACTGCTTGCTAGCAAGCAAAGATCAAATAGTTGATGTACACTGAATGTAGTGACATCCATACAGTTGGCTATAATCTACGTGCAAGCAAGGGAATGGAAAGGGGATGTATAATTTAACCACGAACACAAATGTACAAAGCCCTCTAAACAGAACACACATAAATGCCGGCAATCAACGTGTGATGTTCATGTGAGTTATGCAGAGAAAACATAGAAGCCCCTACAACCATCTACAATAGACATATTACAAGAATGGTTGGTCCTCAATGAATACAGATATATGCATAATGTACCATAGGTGAGCAAAGGTGACTCATTTGCAACACACATAAGGCATGTACAAGCTTTTATAGTAAGAGGCAATGAACATTGCAACGTCTTCATAACCAACATTAATTGAGCATTGCAACGTCTTCATAACCAACATTCATGAAGATTGTGGCGAATACATTAACATGATTTGCAAGCAGTGACAAAAGACAAGATGCAAACATAATGAGTCTTTTGTAATCATGAGAGTGCACACAGCATGTTATGAGAAAGGCCAAGAAGTCTGCAACGATAGTGAGCTCCCACAAGACATTGTAAGAGACTTGTTGTACACATAATAACCCATCTATGAATGATATATGAAGATGACAGAAGACGCTACAGTTTCTCCACAGATGGATGTAGAATATTCCTCCTTCATACAATAGACTAACTACGAGCGGTAGCTAGTAGTATGCAACCAGCACGACAGAACTCCTTGTAAACATATACAACAGAGCATGTGGTAAATACTAGCGTCTACTAACAACGATAGGAGATGTGTCGTAACCATAATGATACATATGCTGGTGGTGATCAATAATAAGAAGTGAATGATGCGAGGCCTTCACTGTCAACAACTATACAATGGCAAGTAAATACACCACACCCATGCAAATGAAGACATACGACGCGTAACAGCTGCAATGATGTAGACAAAGGGGGGGGGGGTCAACTCATGTCTAAAACAAATCAATTTTGGCCTCCCTTGAGTCTACAAGCTCAATAAATTTTGAGCTTGAATTTAACTCATTTATGAGCTGGTTTTTAGTTCATTTATTGAACTAAATGTTATCTCATTATTAGCTAGGTTTTAGTTCATTTATTAACTTATTTATGTAGCTTTATCTTTTAAAATTCTGTGCTTGGCCTCTTGGGTTCCCGTGCCTTGGCTCCTTGGTTCCCACGGCTACCTACTTGGTTCTTGCGGTTGCCTCTTCGGTTTCCGGTGCTGGGTGGCCTTTCCCGTGCCTTGGTGCTTCGGTTCCGTGCGGGTCTCTTGGGTTTCCGCGGCTGCCTCTTCGGTTCCTGGCTGGGCTGGTTCCCATGGCTGTTTGGTGGGCTTTTCCATGGATTTGATGCTTCGTTTCTTGGAGTTGACTGTTGACTTTTCATATTTCCTATTTAAATAAGCTTAAATTAATGTTATATGGTTATTTGTATTCCCCCTTTCATACCTATAAATATGAAGGGTTATGTTATGTTTTAGTATGTTATGTGATGTGATTTTTGAAAATGTAAACCTGCGGGTTTCATTCTTCTTCTTCTCATCCCCTCCGGAAATCTTGCGAGCTCTTTCCAACCTTTCGTCTTGGCTTCTAACCTCTTTCGTCTCTCCGCAAGTGCCACTCCACCTGTATTTTTCTTCCAAGTGCAGCAACTTTAGGGTGTCTTGTAAGAGTTCAAGTTTGTTTGAGTCAAAGTTTGTAAGTCTTTCATTTTTATAATATTAAAGTTTGTTTTAAGCATTTTATGTCTTTATTTTGTATCTAGAAAGGTTGTTGTTTTTGTGATAAAAAAATATAGGGTCCTTTATATTTTTTGCTCGCATCATGCAAGCTCCTAGGAATCATCGTAGGTGACCCGTTATATACTCAAAGTGTCATCTACGAGCAAATAAGAACTACAACATATAACAACATCTTGATGAGGACATCCGGCCTTGGAAAGTCTATCAGAGGCGTGATCGTCGATCTATGGCTACGATCGTGCCGCTCTACTTTTGATGTTCATTTTTATTATTGATGCATTAGTTTTATTTATGAATTTTATTATGTCTTTTTCACTTTTGCCTTAAGGGTTTAGACATGTGTAAGCCCTAGGGGCATATTAGGAATTTTTATTTGTCACTTTGTCTTGGCTATTTAAAGCCTTCGCCTCCTTTGAGGGTTAATGATGAATGATATGAAATTTCAGTTTTTCTTGTTCTCTTGTGGATCTTGAGAGTTCTTTGGTGAAATCCCTAGGAGAAGGTTGCGCAATACCCACCAGTCGTCGGAGGAGTCCGAGCTCGTGGTTGTCTTCTTTTCTTTCTGCCCTTCTCCTCCTTAAGCTGCCACCTCACCTGTTCCCCCCCCTTCCCCCCACTCTTCCTAAACCTAGTTTTCCAACCCCCATACCGCCGCCCACCATCCTTCCACCACCCAAAATCAGTCGGCCACTCAAAGCTCCCTAACCGCCGGCTTCCCCTAGGCTTCCCTAGCCGCCAGCCTCCCCTCCATTTGGCTCCATGAATTTGAATTTCAAAATTCATAATTTCATTAATTATTTTCCTAAAATAACTTCTTGTTAATTTGGAAAGTCTTTGAATTTGAATTCAAATAATATTTGAAATTCAAAAGCTTCTCCAAATTAATAAACCCTTTTAGGAAACACCCTTCAGTTCTACCTCAATCTGAATTTAATTGGATCTAATTCCAATTACTCATACATCGAACTAAACACCCTCTCTCCTCTCCTTCTTTGGCCGCCCCATCCTCTCTCTCTCCCTTAATAAAATCCTTCCACTAAAGCTCCCTCAATCAAACCCCAATTAATCCCCTTACATGGCCAGCCTCTACCTCTCTCCTATCCCATTAATTTCCCTAAAATTAATTCCCCAATCAATCCCATAATTCCCCGCATCCCTAGCCGTCTTCCCCAAGCCTCCCACCTCTTGGTTTTCTTCCTCTCCTGGATTTCTAAGTGTTGTCCTGATTTCTAGGCACAATTTGTAAGCTGTCTAGGAACTTCCAGATTTTCAGCTTGCTGTCCATCAACTCCAACAAAGGGAAATCAACAGTTTCGCAGACTGCTGTCTAAAGCCTTCCTATTGCTGCTTTTCAGATTTTCTAAGTTATATGGTTGCTGTCCAGAAGAATTTCAGCAATAGAAACAACTGTTCTGCTGATCAGAAGTCCTCCAGCTGCCGCCCCAATTCTCCAAACAGGATCAAGATTATTGTCTAGAGAAAATTCAGTAAAAGGGGGCGACTGTACTGCCCGGGAAGACCTGATTGCTATCCCAAGTCTCAAACCCAGGATTCGGTGAACTCTTCCCCTCATTCTTTTATTTTTCTAATCACTTTCAATTGTAGAATTAATTGATTCACTGAGATCCTATTAGTCCTATCCGCTAGAGCCTAGTATTTTAAAGAGTGAGTGAGTGGGCTTGCTTCATAGTAACTATTCTTATTGTTAGATTAGAGATTTCTTGTTGAAACCTATCTCGTATGCAATGTTAAGAGTAATTGGTTATTTTGTGATTTTTCTTCTTGCAAGTAACTTGGCCTAAGCTTGTGTTTACCTTTCTTAGTATTTTTTTTCATTGTTTAAGTCACCATAACGATTTAATTAACATGCTCTTAATCATTAAGCGTGTGAAATACTTATCTTAATTGCAATCTCATATGTCCTGCATCATCTGGTATTAGAGCATGGTTTGCTCTTATTGTATGTGCTAGGATCCATCGTAGAGTTTTAATTACCATCGTTAAGCTTAGCTAGTTGTTCCAACATTACATTTATTTCATTTAACACATTATTTGTTTGCTGTACATACATTTCCTACATCATTTTGCAAGCCATAGGTGTGTTATCATTCAAGTTAATTATTGTCCTTTACATCATAGTCATCGTAAGTATCCTGTAGTGTATCCCAATGGACCCGGAACAACTTGGCAGGACTCTAGACTTAATAGTAGGTCAAATGAATACAATCAATCAGCAACTCAAAGAAAATCAAGCCAACCTAGCCGAACTTTGTAGAGACACAACTGAATTATTCGATACACTTGAGCGCTCTAGGGATCATCTGACCCCCTACACCCCATCTAGACCTCTTTCCTTGTATGGGGATGATACCTTTCAAGATGAGAGGTTACATCGTGCCACTCATCGAGCTCTCCAGTATGGACACAACCATAACCACGACCCTGACATACCACTGATGAAGAGCATTAAAGTCGATGCTCCAACCTTTGATGGGACCCTCGATCCCCAGCTCTTCTTAGACTGGATCAAAGGTAAGGATAGCTTCTTCAAGTGGTACAATATCTCCGAGGCTAGGAAGGTTAGTTTTGACAAGATGAAACTCACAGGCAGTGCGAGTCAATTTTGGTCCAATTTAGAAAGCCTTAGAGAAGCCCAAAATGAGTATCCCATCACTGATTGGCCTTCCATGAAGCGTGAACTTAAGCAAAAGTACTAACATCCCTCTTACTTCCCTAGGTTGTTAGATAGGTGGAATAGGTTAACTTAGGGCAAAAAACTAGTCAAGGAGTACATTGCATCTTTTGATGACTATCTGATTCACTGCAAAGGGGAGACCTCTACCACCCCCGTGTAGATCATGTTTATGTTTCGTACTGGGTTGCGAGAGGACCTTCGCAACGAACTGTTTTCCCGGAATGTTACTACACTTGAAAACGCCTACAGCTTAGTGTTAGATCCGGAGGAAATCCGTTCCCAGCACCCTAGCCGACACCATGACTCTAGGCCTTCCTACATACTTTCCGGTAGTTCCACTCCTTACACCTCCACTTCCTGACCTACCCCAGGGAGCACTACCCGACCACCCACTGGTCCTCCTACACCCCAATCTGATTTCAGGAGTAAGCCTCCCACCCCACCCCGGATACCCCTCGGTCCAGTCCTGATACTAAGTGCTTTCCATGCCAGGGATATGGGCATATCGCTTCTCAGTGCTCCAGTCCCTATAAAGTCTTGATTATCGAGGAAATAGCTGAGGAAGATTTTGAGCCCGAGGTCAATCAAATCTACCAAGTGGAAGATGAGGGTGAATTCTTCGAGAAGGATGATGACATTGCTGTTCTCCATTGTCTTTAGAAACTGGACACTTCTCCCATCTGCGTGGTGAGAAGTGCGCTGTCACACCCTACTACCACCGATAACTGGCATAGGATTGCAATTTTTCACAACTATACCAAAATCAAGGATAAGAACTGTAAAGTCATCGTGGATAGTAAGGAACAACAGACAAGCCCAACTATCCATGATGACTTTACAGGCCCAACTTGGGGTAGGTGTGATTTTACACCTAAGAGCACTGATGTTCAAATAATTTATCCACGATGTTCAAATGAATCAAATATCTAAGAGCACTGATGTTCAAATAATTTATTCAAAATTATGAAAGAGAACACCTGTGTTGTGTACGCACAGTGCATGTGAAGGTGCTTGTCTATGCATCTATGATTGCGCTAGAATGTAACTATGCATTTATGCACATTTATCGAAAATTATATCTATGCTGACCTCTTTTTGTTCTAAGTTTGTCAGATTATTCTTTGCACTGAGGATATGCTGAATCAGTCAATCTGGGATGCAGTACATAGTGAACAGCCGAATTTAAAAGATGTAGAGGTATACCAAGATACTTAGCTTTATATTTACTCCATGCTCAATTTATTCTTGCATGATGATAAACAAATATTTGCGTCTTGATTTCTAATTGCTGTTTTTTTTACTATTCTTGTTTTCATTTACCTTGGGATCATCTTGGTTGTGCCACAACTTATTTTAATTATAAAGAAGTCCCTTTATGGTGCCTCCTCCAAAGAAGTTTTTATTATTATCAACAACAATCACACCTTTTTGATACTCTGCCATATTTGCCCTTGAAATTATGTGGGATGGCACATTGAGTGTTTTCACTGAATAAAAGTAAAAAAACAACATAAGAATTCCCACTTTAGTGAACCAATATAACTCTTTCAAAAGGTCAATTATATGGGAGTAGAATGGAACCTGCAGTGCACGACGTTTAGATATTATGATGAGAATAGAGTGAGGTAGAGAATGGATCGAGAAAGAGATAAGTGCACAATAGTTATCTTGTTATGGTTGCTCAATATTCCCTTCAAACGCCATGTTTCTTTGAAACTTCTTCATGATTTAGGCTTATCTAGATCTAGTGAGGCTCAAGAACGTACACTTTTCTTTTCACTAAATAAGACAAGTAGTTGTCCGACCATTTTTACTTCAGTCAATCAATGATTTTTTAAATTGAACGATGGATTATAACGCTTTGAGATTTTTTTCTAGACTTTGGAAAGTATAACATACTCGTAATAATGTTGGAGAATGGTGTTAGAAATATGACAGACTGTTGACCTATATGTAATAACCAAAAGAACAAAAAAATCTGCATTCCTCGGACTGTCGAAGGATCCCCGAAATCATGCATGAAATCCTGCGAGCTGCTCTGATCTACGATCAAATCCCGCAAATCCCGCTGTGCTCGCGTCTCATCCCGGGATTTTTGCGTAAAACCAGCGACGAGGGACTCGATCCCACTCCCATTTGCGCCTATAAGAGACGAGATCTCTGCTTCGACAACCACTCCCATTCGCTACTTCTTCCATTCGCTCTCCCGCTCTCTGTCCGACTCCACACTCACTGCTTCCGCTCCAATCGACCGAGCTCCCTCTCCTCCCTATCCGACAATCTTCCCCTCCGATCGGAAGCAAAGAACCGGAGCTCGCTTGCTGCGGAGACAACCTTCTCCCTTTCACGGCTTCTTCTGACGAACCCCACTGCTCCGACCAAATCCTGATCTCCCTTCCTCTTTGTCCGAGCTCCAATCTCCTCCCCGAGCCAAGCTTCCTCCTTCCTGCCTCCTCCGATCCACAGAGAGAGAGAGATAGAGAAAGAGGGAGGTCTTCTCCTACCCGAAGCCGACTCCATCTCCTCCGATCGGGAGTAGCGACTGGAGCTCCCTGTGAAGGTAACTTATCCCCTTTGAACGAGCTTCTTCGGCCGAAACCTGTAAATCCGCCAAACTCTAGGATTTACAGTAAAGAGAGGGAATGGAGGATTTATTCCTTTATGAGATTTACGGGTTTGGCAAGTTTTAGCATAGAACCTTGCTCAAATCCGACATAAAATCTTGTTCAAACCCTATATAAATCCTGTTTATTTGATTCTTAATTACAATAATTATGATATTATAATTATTATTGATTATACTTGTTAATAATTATAATTATTAATATTTATAATATTTGATAATTATAATATATATGTTAATTGTAATTAGTAATAATCATAATCACTCCTAATCATTAAATAATTATAATTACTATTAATTATTAATGATTATATGTTATGATTATTACTAAACAAAAAAAATGATATCTCTCTCTCTCGATCCTCGGGCCGACACCGACATTCCTCACGAAGGTATGAATTTTCTAAACTCAGATTGTCGTTTTGTTGTATGCGGCGAACTGGAAAACCGCCTATACACGCCTTTATTGCGCGTGGTGGGATGGGACCCCGGTCCGACGCCTACGATAAGGCGAGCAATCGCCTAAACTCTACTTCGGTGTTCGTGGCGCACCGGAAAACCGCCTATACACGACTTTATTGCGCGTGGTGGGAAGAGACCCCGGTGCGGCACCTACAGCGAGGCCGGGTCACTCATAAGTACCCTCGAGCGGGGGAAAGCAAACTGTGCATCTTTAAACCGCCACATTCGAAGCCCGCGAAGGTACGAATTCTCTAAACTCAGATTCTTGCGTAGTTGTTTGCAGCAGACCGGAAAAACTCCTATGCATGCCTTTCTTGCGCGTGGTAGGATGGGACGCCGGTCTGATGCTTACGACGAAGCGAGCAATCGCCTAAACTCTACTTCGGTGTTCGTGGCGCACCGGAAAACCGCCTATACACGCCTTTAACTCGTGCACGATCAGGGGTTTGATGAGGCAATGTGGTATGTTAGTGAGTGAACGATAGGCCACAAGGTAAGCAAGGCTTCGACAAGTCGGTTACTCTAAAATCTTTACTGGGATCCCTAAGTGATCTTCATAGAATTGGAGGTTGACAAACAACAGGATCCTGATGGATCCTTACACAAGATCCTCAAAGGGATCTTCACAAGGCTTACGAGTGAAAGACAAGATAGAAGTTTGAATGTTGACTCGAAAACCAAAACAAATAAAGCTATGCACAAATTACTTTCCATCCTCTAGAGCGTTCTTCTCATTATATAGAAGAAAATAGGAGAAATATATGGCTGTGATCGAGTGATTTACTTTTTGATTTTTCGTAATAAGACAAAATATTTCTTTTCCTAATATATTGATATTTACAGTTATACTGATTAATTATACATATTTCTTGCCATACCTTATAAGTATTAATTGATTCAGTTATAAATGCTAATACATTTACCATATCTATAATTTAATAAATGCGATATTAATAATTAATAATTAGAAAAGAAATGATACAAAAATTTGATTCCTCGTGGATCTTTCATATAGAAGAATTATTTAAAGGATGAGATTTTAACTTCTAGTAAGTTATTATTCAAACCTTAAGGTAAATTTTATAATGATGCAATTAGACCCGTTAGGTAGAATTGTTCGAACAGCTTGACCCTCACTTGCACAGATTTTGAATTTTGCTTGATGTGCTAATTGTCACTTGGTAATCTTTCTTGAATAGTTTGGACAACTTGGCGTTGGTGATAATGTTGATCACTGCTCTCCAGTTCAAGTAAAATTCCCTCAGGACCAGGTATGATCTTATTACTTTAAATTCATTCTTCTGTTGCAGAGAAATATTTGATTGTGACATAGTGTCGTTATTACCCTTAGAAATTAGAGGTTGGAGAGTTTGATGCAGTCCCGATAGCTCTTTAAGCATTTTTTCTATTAGTTAAATCTGTTATCTTGGTTCATTTTTTTCTTTTACATTTTACAGAAGGTTATCCAGACGTCTTGTGGATGGAGGCATACTCTTGCTTTGACAGAGAGTAAAAATGTGTTTTCATGGGGCAGAGGTACTAATGGTCAGCTTGGACATGGGGATACTCTTGACAGGTACTTTAATTAAGAGCTATTTTAATGGTTCAATACAATCTTAGAACTGAGTTTTAGATGTCCATATCTGTTTTTTTTTTTTTTTTTTCCAATATGGTTCAGGTTATATATCTAACCATATAACCTTACCTTATTAAAAAACAATTAAAAGAAATGGACATCCGAAACTCAATTTTATTTGCGTAATTTTTTCAGCCTATAGAGTAGCTAATTTTCTAATCTGTTTTGTATCCAATGCGACAACCTTCAGTTTGAAAAATGAAAGATGTCTAACTGTATATGAAATAGGAAATTTTGGTTGATTATGTTCGGTAAAATTGTTTATTTTGAATTCTGTAGAAAATTTTTAAGGATATATTTGTTACAAATCCTTATTTTCTATTCAACTCTGTTTATTGATGTTCGAGGTGTAGTACTTATTCTTTACTAATCCAAATTCTTTTGCGTTCTTTCGTATCCATGGGTAGATTGATCCATAAAATTAGAAGAAGATAATTAACTGACTGTTGTCAACAAGAGTTAAATGGCATATAAAAGTACGAAACTTTCAATAACATTGTTTATTTTCCTAGTTTCTGAATTGTGTAGAACATCTGTTAAGTTCTGTAGGTTATGAATCCTTATTTTTCATTCATCCATGTTAATTGGTGCACTAGGTGTTAATTTTATTTATTTTTTAACAAAAGGATCAAAATGGCCATTTGACTCTTTATGAAGGACCAAAATGGTTCCCAACTATATTAAAATATTTTTTTGGTCCCTTAAGGCTTTAAAAAGGAATCCGAATTGTCTTATGGTAGGACTTTTTTTTTTGTTCTTTTTTGAGGAATTGAGAGACCAAAATGGTTATTTAATATAATTGGAGATCATTTTAGTCTTTCATAAAGAGTCATGGATCATTTTGATCTTTTTTTAGTTTAACATTTTGAATAACTTCAATCCATGCAATTTTAGTTCTAATTATTCTCGTTCTTGGCCCTTAAAAGATAATTTTATGTATCATTTAGTTGATGCATTTTTAATTCTTCTTTATTCTTATCCAAATCATATCTATTTTCAATTATCTTATATAAATATCACTACATCCATTATTCTTATATAATTGTTAGAGGAAAAAGGATATTTTGGTGTTTTTTCAGTAGAGAACCCCTTATATATAATAGGAGAATGAGTACAATATTAGATTGCTAGCGATATTGATGGTGACATAATCATTATAGTATAAAATTATATGTTGTGTAATTGTAAACCAAAATCCTGAAGAAGAGCTTTTGCTTATATCATTTCATAGTCGGTGTGAGCTATACCTTGTAATATTCTTAAACTTTAGATCTAGCTACGACTATTTGCTTCTTTCCTCTCTACCTCACATTATTTCCATCAACATGTATACAATATCTAGAAGTTTACTTTTTATATGTCCAACATCGCTTGTTAGTTTTGGACTTTAAAATGAAGGGGTAGAAAATAAAAAATAAAGTAAATCATTATTCTAGGATTAGATGGGGGCATTTAAAGAATATTAACAAAAATATTTTTGAGAGTAAGATTCTAAATCTTAAGATTTTGTTTGTGCATGAGAAAGCTAATGTTATGTAGGAAAAAGTAGCTAGTGATATTAAGAATATTGCAAAAGATATATTTGAAGTATCAAAGGAAAAAATAATTAATAGTAAAAATAGTTGGTGGTGGAATCAAAATATGTAAGAAAAGATAAAAAATAAGAAGATTTGTTATATGAATTGGTTTAGTTGTAAAAATTCTGATAATTATAAAATATATAAAGTGGCTCGTAAGGAGTCTAAGAAAACAATTTGTAATGCAAAGATTTTAGCTTTTAATGATTTATAAAATAGATTAGATACTAAGGAGGGCGAAAGATATATGTATAAGTTAGCTAAACAAAGAGATATGAGTAGTAAGAATTTAATTCAAGTGAAGTGTATTAAGGATGAAGATCAAAGTTTTAATCAATGACCTTGAAAAGCAACAATCTCCTCAAACTATCTGGCCACTGATCCGTTCAAGTCAATGGTTCATTAAATAATGTAATACATGCAGAATTATCCATTGAGATTTGTTTGAGAAAAAGATCAAAATGATTCCTTGACTCTTTATGAAGGAATAAAATAATCCTCAACTATATTATGACTAATTCAATCTTTTTCTCATACTTGTTTTAATGATGTTAAATATAATTTCTAGTTTTGATCTTGCATTTGATGATCTAAATATGGAAATCCAATTGGGCGGAGAACAATGATTCTCCTTCTAGGAGGAGAAAAGTCTCTCTCTCTCTCTCTCTCTCTATATATATATATAATATTCGCTTTTCTTATATATCTTTTCTTGCATGCCTGAAAATCTTCTTTAAGATGTTCAGAAGGTATGTAAAGTGCATAGTACATGGGATGCATAATATTATGGTGAATCCCTTCGGTGCTGGGAAAAGGCTTGTTGCACGGAGGAATGGTGTTCTCAGTATAGTCCTTATTCTCTGTTGAGGAGTTCAGTTGCTTTCTTTATCGAAATATTTGTATTTAGAGGTACAAATCATTAATAAAAGTTATTATTTTGGCATCTTGAAGGAATACACCAAAGATCATTGAGGTTTTGAGCTCCGATGGTTCAAGCTGCAGCCAGATACCATCCTCTAGAGCAGATCCACTACAAGGTTTGTGAGCTCATGCCATTTCCTGTCAAGAAGAATATTAGAGAAATTTCTATCCTTATAAATTACCCTCTTTATAATAAAAGGGCATTACTTTTAAGAATTGATAGTCAAATCCTCGTTGTTTTTATTTCTTCTTAAATTAAGGACTGGAAAAATACAACAACAACATCAAGTCTTTATCCCACTATGTGGGGTCGGCTACATGAATCCTTTTTCTTCATTGTGTCCTATTAAAAGTCAAATTTTCGTTTAAATCTAATAAAGAAAGGTCATTCCTAATATTTTCTAACCAAGTCTTTTTAGGTCTACCCCTACCTTTCTTAATATAAGTCAAATCTAATACCTCTACTCTCCTAACCGGGTCATCGAAAGGCCGTCGTTTTATGTGGCCAAACCATCTAAGGCGACTCTCTCTAATTTTATCTTCTACTGGAGCTACTCCAACCTTTTCATGTATATGTTCATTTCGTATCTTATCTCTAAGGGTAAAGCCACTCATCCACCTGAGCATCCTCATCTCTGTCACACTTAACTTAGTATTATGCTTCTCTTTTAATGGCCAACATTCGGCACCATAAAGCATTGCAGGCCTCACTATCATCTTATAGAATTTTCCCTTAAGTTTGAGGGGTACATTTCTATCACATAACAAGCCCGATGCATTCCTCCACTTCAACCATCCAACTTGAATTCTGCTGATAATATCCCCATCTATTTCACCATCACTCTGAACAATAGATCCAAGATATCTAAAACGTGTACTCTTATTAATGACTTGATCGCCCAAAGTCACAATCCCCTCACTAGGACTATTACTGCTAAAATTACACTCCATATATTCCGTTTTAGATCTACTCAAGCGAAAATCTTTAGACTCTAAGGTTGACCTCCATAATTCAAGTTTACCTTCAACTCCCTCTCTAGTCTTATCAACAAGAAGAATATCATCAGCAAAAAGCATACACCAAGGTACATCATCTTGCAAATGTCTAGTGAGAACATCCATGACTAAAGCAAATAGATATGGGCTTAAGGCTGATCCTTGATGTAACCCAACCGAAATAGGGAAATACTTGGTCAATCCACCTTGTGTTTGAACACAAGTAATAGCTCCTGCATACATATCTTTAATGATTTGAATATAAGCATTATTGACTCCTTTCTTTTCAAGAACTCTCCATAGCACTTCTCTTGGAACTTTATCATATGCTTTTTCTAAATCAATAAATATCATATGTAGATCCTCCTTATTTTCTCTATATTTCTCCATCAAACCTCTTAATAAATGTATGGCTTCCATAGTCGACCTACCCGGCATGAATCCAAATTGATTTTGAGAAACATTAGTATCACGCCGCAACCTATGCTCTATAACTCGCTCCCATAATTTTAAAGTATGACACATTAACTTAATACCTCTATAATTCGTGCAATCCTGTGCATCGCCTTTATTCTTAAAAATAGGAATTAATACACTCATTCTCCACTCATCTGGCATCTTTTTAGTCTTCAAAATAGTATTAAAAAGTTTAGTAAGCCAAGAAATCCCTTCATCTCCTAAGCATTTCCACACCTCTATTGGGATATCATCAGGTCCAACAGCTTTTCCACCCTTCATTCTATTTAAAGCCTCTCTAACTTCAGTTTTACTAATACGCCGATAAAAACAGAAATCTTTACTTTCATTTAGGGTGCTAAGGTCACTATAGTCAATCTTATTTTCACACTCTTCATTAAAAAGTTTAGCAAAATATCTCATCCATCTTTGTTGAATATCATCTTCTAAGAAAAGTATTTTTTGATCTTCATCCTTAATACACTTCACTTGAACTAAATCCTTACTACTCCTATCTCTTTGTTTGGCTAACTTATACATATATCTTTCTCCCTCCTTAGTATTTAATCTATTATATAAATCGCTAAAAGCTAATGTCTTTGCATCGCATATTGCTTTCTTAGAATCCTTACGAGCCACTTTATATAATTCCCAATTATCAGAATTTTTAAAATTAAACCAATTTTTATAACAAATCTTCTTATTTTTAATCTTTTCTTGCACAATTGGATTTCACCACCAACTATTTTTACTATTGGGAGCTTTTCCCTTTGATACTCCAAGCACATCTTTTGCAGTATTCTTAATATCACTAGCCACTTTTTCCCACATAACATTAGCATCCTCATGCACAGACAAAATCTTAAGATCTAAAATCTTACTCACAAAAATATTTTGGTTAATATTCTTTAAATGCCCCCATCTAATCCTCGAAAAACGTTTTACTTTATTTTTTATTTTATGCCCCTTTATCTTAAAGTCCAAAACTAATAATCGATGTTGGGTACATAAACTTTCACTCGGAATAACTTTACAATCTTTGCAATCTAAACGGTTTAATTTTCTAATAAGAAAATAGTCAATCTGGGTTGTACTACATCCATTTTTATAAGTGATGAGATGCTCATTCCTTTTCTTAAATAAGGTATTAGCAATTGAAAAATCATAAGCTAAACAAAAATCTAATATGGTCTTGCCACCTTCATTCGTCGTTCCAAATCCATGGCCACCATGAATGCTTTTAAAATCATCTACCTCTCTACCAACATGTCCATTTAAATCTCCTCCAATAAAAACTCTTTCTTCAAGAGGTATCTTTTGTATTAATTCTTCTAAGTCATTCCAAAAATTTAATTTAGAACTTATATCCAAACCTACCTGAGGAGCATAAGCACTTATAATATTAACAATCTTATCCTCAATAACAATCTTTAAAGCTATAATTCTATCACCAATCCTATTAATTTTTATAACATTATCCTTTAAACTATTATCTATAATGACACCTACACCATTTCTAGTACGACTCCTACCCGAATACCAAAGTTTAAAACCTAAACTATCGATTTCCTTAGCCTTCTCTCCAACCCACTTAGTTTCCTGAATGCACAAAATATTTAATTTCCTATGAATCATAATATCTATTAACTCCATTAATTTACCAGTAAGGGAACCTATATTCCAAGTTCCTATCCTAATTTTAGTATTATGGACTAGCTTCTTTGCCCACATCCGTCCTTGATGTGGGAACCCTTGCCTATTTAACACTGCACCCGGGCGTCGGTGCAGCGGCCCTTGCACACTTGTCACTGTATTCAGGCCATACAGCGCGTCGCTTCCAGGGGACGCCCTAGCATTAACACAATTTCTTAAAGGATTCATGTCATTTTTGTTCGACAAGTTTTACGCTGGCTGTCGACTACCTAACGCAACCCTCCACTTTTCTCATCCAGGACTTGGGACCTGGCAACGGCAATGAAATAAATAAAAAAATGGAAAATTCAGAAGTTGGAATGAAAACCCATTTCATGTAGCTCCAGCCTGATTTGGATTCTAGGGAGCCTTGTGAAAGCTTTGGAAAGACTTGTGACACTTTGCTTGGCCACTGCTCTTTTTGATAAACGAGGAAGGATTCTGAATATACAGAGTTAGGCTAGGTGCGTTAAAAATTGAAGTTTAACTTGGTTCTTATGATTTTGACATTGCGGTTGATTCCACCATGTTAGATATTAATTGAACTCATCCCCTCTAACAAAGTTTCCAGAAAATTGATAAAGTAAGTGGAGTTGTCTAATTATACTTAAGCAATTTGTTGGCCAATTCCACGTGGTGCTTGAACAATCCATTTCTGCCCTAGATCCGGTCTCATAGCCTAACCACTTATATTTTGATTATTTTGGTTCATATAAAAACCACCAATCTGTTTGAATCAGGCCTCGCATGACTGGGAAAAGTTCTGTTATGTCTCCACAGCAGGGAATTTGTCTAGCCCACCTAAGAACAAAACGCAATCAGTTGTATGGATGGTGGCCTATCTTATTCGGCAAATATGGTTGGTTGCTGATAAATTTTGCCAATGCCTCTTTTCATTCCTAAAAACTTACTAATATTTAAAAAGAAAAAAACCATCAAAATGGAATATAAAGCTTGAGGCTTGGTGGATTTTCATGTAAAAGGTTCTGCATATTCCACTGCTTCTAGAGTGAATTTGGCAAGACCTTTGACCGTTTACATAATGGCCCAAGTGCTTGATGATGCTTTTATTTGCCTCTTTAGGCTTGTGGAAATTTTATTGATCTATCTTGATATATATATTTTTCCAACTTATCTTCTTTATTCAAGTTTTATGAATCCCTATTTTCCTTTATTACTTTGCTTGCTTATCCCTACGCACAATTTCACGTATGAATTAGATTATTCTACTTAAGTCTCAAGTGTTCAAAGTCATCAAATTAACCTATGTTAACATATCCTTTGCATCTCTATGTTCGTTTGTCAATCTATTTATCTTTAATATCATTGTTTTAATCTGAGCTTGGTTCATGGTTTTGTAACATGTTATGAGTTTGAGTTTGAGTTTCTCATGGTTAGGATAATACATGTTATGTGCTTTTTTTCAAAAAATCTTTTCTAAATTTAGTTTTAGTATTATAACAAACTATTGCATGGATAAAATCTGCGCATCAAGCTCTAAAGTCTTTTTCATTTTACTTTAATATCCAGTTGGAAATAGTTACGTTTTCTTATCAATAATAGGCTTCTTCGGAATTCGCAGATTGCAAAATCTTTGCCAAGAATTTGCTTTATGTCTGGTTTAACTGGGGAAGAGATGATGATGTTTATTGATGCATTTCCAGAAATTGGTACAAATTTGCAGCACCTACCCCTCTGTTGCTTAGTTTACCGTCTTAATTTTTAATATTTGTGTGATTTAGTGATTTGTATTTCAAATTTTCTTACTTAATTTGAAATCATCAGAAAGCAGAGCTTAATCTTATATTGTGACTGTAATACTAGTTCCATAGCCTGTAAAACAAACTATCAACTAGGGGAAGAACCCCAAGTTCATATGTTAAGCATGACTGTTAGTCATATATAAATTAGTTTTATTTATATTTTTAGGAATTAAGTAAAATGCCGGTTGGTATAGGTCGTGAGATATATATGGCACAAAAATGACAAAAAATCATAATTTGGTTTAGAATAAAGTAGATATCCTTAGTTATAAATATTCATTTATTGTTGAATGTTGAGAACCTTCCAAGTTACCTGATATTCAAGACTAAATATTACTCTATTCTGATTAATAAATAATGCTAATTAGGTATAATAATGGCATTCAAATTTAATGCCAGTGAATCCATGTTGTCCAAGATCCACTGATATATTTTTCATTCTTGATGCATATATTTTATCATTAATTCTGAAAGATTTTGGTGAATAAACGCACCAAGTCTGTTATAATGAAGCAAATTAATTCGAAGTCCAAGAAAAGTTCTTTCCTGTTTTTGAGAAGTACGCCTTGTGTACATTGATGAAAAACCATGAAAATTAAATAAATTACAAATAGATGGAAGTATTAACATCTATTTAGAAATTAGAATACATATATTTTGTGGATTATAACATCTAATTTATTAGGCATGAAAACATCACATTTGTAGGGTTTCTTGTTCATAAATTAGGCCAAAGTTTAATCAACTTATGACCAAAGTATACATAAGTAACTTTTTCTTTCACAGGAATGCTTATAGTTGAAAGTTAGCTACTTTTCGGTTATAAAGCACGTTTGATTATCATTATTCGTACTAGTTATTTGTATCTTTATAAAACTAATTTTATCACTTCAATTATTTGCCTTCCATTGTTGTTCATTTCCCATGAATGACACTCTTGAGACTTTATGCAGGACTACGGCCAGCTGTTTTCGCTGCTTTGGTACCCAACAGTGCAAATAAGCTTTTGAAGGATGTTGCTGAAGAGATTATGGGAGATCATGAAATGCTGGTATATTTCTATTTCTATTAAAGCTTGATGTCAGAAAACAAATTTGAGTGAGGATATTCTAATACAAATTTGATCAATAAATCTTTAAAACAGTTAAATTTGCTCTGAGATGAGTGTTATATAATTAGTTTTGATTGAATAGCTATACGTATAGCACTTATTCTAATGGCTAGAAGATTCATCCTCATCGAATTTGAATTAAGAGATCCATACCCAATTTTTCTCTTTGATGTATTCTTAGTTCATTTCTTGTAACACTCTTTTTTCCTCTTATATTTGCAGTCAGCAAAGCAGATAAGCTGATCTCCTATCATGAAACAATTTGAAGTGGCAACAAGCTTAACCTCAGATTAATCTGCATAGCCACGAAAAGGACTACGAAGATGACATTATCAGGGTACAACTTCTTTAATGAATTTTCTTTCTTTCACTATTAGGATGCAGATAATATAATACAAAAAATATGGATTCATATTAAATTACCCAGAGATTTACCGTCCTTCATGATTTATCTATAGTCCTAGCCTGGGCATTATGTGACTCTTCCTTATATAAGTTTATGAAGGTGATTTGCCTGCAATGCAAGTATCCTTTAGAATCTTTGCTTTCCAAAAAAAAAAAAAAAAGGATCGAATTAAAAGAAAATAAGTTCTACCATCATAGAGTCTAATTGCAGTAACTAGAAATTTTTGCAATCTGAGTCGATTGTCATAGAAGTTAATTCGAACTTAATTATTTTATGTTATTCGACTGAATGACTAATTACTTTTTTGTTGATTTACTTCTTGGTTAGATATAGTTATTAGATTCTTATTGTTGATTGGATGCTAATTGTTAGGGAATTTTTAATGTTAATGAATTTCATAGCAATTATTAATTACATCTAATTAACTAAACTATATTAAAATCGGCCATAATATGTCTAAAAGTTCAGAATGATTCAACAGATCAGCAAATTTTGTTATGTAATAACAGTAAATTAGCACAGCTGCAAAAATATATTTTATATTACTTAAATTAAATAGCAACATTTAATTAGCTAATGGTGTATCAGTAGGAGTGAAAGTGAACGAAAGTATGAACCAAATTAGCTTGAAATGCCGCTGATGGAATCGTAAGTATTAGGCATTTATTAAGAAAGGAGTATGATCAAAATGGTGGTTGGATTTCTTAGGTGTATTCATTTTAGTCCCAATTTTTTTTAGTGACCAGTTAATCTCACAACACACTAAATTTAAACCAATTTAGATTTTGTTTGGGACAGCTTTCTTATCTTTTTTTAAAAGTAAATTTTTAGCACATAAATTAAAATTTTTAACTAAAAAGTTGTTTTAAGAAGTAGTATGAAAGCCATCTCAAATGAAGTCTTAGGCTTCACTTGGGACGGCTTTCTTACTGCTTCTTAAAGCAGTTTTTATGTATAAAAATTTTATCTGTTGCACTAGAAAGCTGCTTTAAAAAATAGTAAGAAAGTCGTCCCAAACGAAGCCTTAGTCCTGTCACCAACTTTATCATTTCTTTGTACTGAGGGATGTTTTTAATGATCATTCAATTTCTTTAATTTGAGATGGTATTAACTAGTGAGATTAACTTTAAAGCTTCCGTCTAAAGAAACAATCGTTTACAGGAGGAATAAAATTGATTTATATTTGATGTCTTGACAAAAATTAAACACTTGGAAAAGTCAATTATTAAATTAACAACAATAACATTAAACCTTTGTCCCATTAGGTGGGGTAAGTTACATGAATCAGTTTTCTCTATTATGTTCTATTAAAAATTAAATTTTCGTTTAAGTCTAATAAAGAAATATTGTTTTTAATATTTTCTAAAATTAACATGTAAAGAATTTTGCGTCATCTTGATCATTTATTTAAATGAAATATGAATGAATTTATAGAACAAATCAACATCCTTGTAACAAAAAGGAAAAAAAAAAAAAGAATTCTTGTGTTTATAGTAAAATTTAAAATTCTCTTTGATGCGTCATTCATAAAAATCATGTGATTAAGCACAAATTCTGAATCAAAATTTTAAATCTTAAAACTAAAAAAAATTGCGGAATTAACATAGAGATTATCCGAATTCCATTTCTAGCAAATTTATTATCAAAATGAGTGTCTCGTTGAGATGAATCCAATTATATCAAGAACACATTAATCAAATTCCAATTGAACCTAAATCTGACAATCGAAGTTATAATTAGAAATTTTATAATATGGCTTGAGGAACCAAACAATCTCAAATTTTTGTGTGATTGCTATTTAAACAAGTGTCTTGATGAGACATATGATGAGCCCAAGATCACAGCTTGGTGCACAATTTTTTGCTACGCTTAAAGTCTTCTGCTTCTGACTTCAAAAATTGGTTTAATTTATCATGTTGGGCTCATGTCATATGGTTGAATTAGGAAACTTTATTGGATGACTATAATACCCCAAGAGATGGGTGAATTAGGATCTTAAAATTTTTTTATTAAATAAAATAATTAATTTAATTTTAATGTTAATTGAGAAAAGTAAAAACAAACGCATAATTTTAAAAACTTTTGATGTAAAGTAAATGATAAAGTAACACAAGTGCATGTAACATACATAATATTTTTGTGGTTTGGCTTCGATACCAATTTGGTCTACGTTTATGCTTGTCAACTCTTGGGCAATAATCCATCAAATTATAGGTTTGTCTTGTAAGCCTCACTTCTGTAAATCCCAAAAGATACATATAACCTAAGTATTCTTCTATATGAGAAAGTACAATCGGATTTAATTATAATATGAACTTCACTAAGTCAAATTATTTATATTAAGAAAAAGAAAAGATTTAATTATAATATGAACTTCACTAAGTCAAATTATTTATATTAAGAAAAAGAAAAATATAAGTTGTTATAAATAATATAAGCTCAAATAAGGTTGCAATAAAAGGATAAATATTTGAAATGATTTTATAAAATATTATTAATTACCTCATCATTTGTAAATGGAATATAAAATTTGCTCACAATAAAGTATATTTTGATTTATATGAATAATATTGTTATTATGATTAAAAATAATACTTTTTTTCTTTGTTTTAATAAGTAAAACTTATTTATATAAAATGAATATATTAAATTAAAATATTGACATATAGTACTCTCAAATGTGCATTAGATTTATAATATAAAAACTATAGCAAAAGAAAAAAGTTTTTCTTGGTAATTATATAGATGACATTTAGCACATAGAAAACTTAATATAAAATTTTGGAATAGTTTTCACCTTAAAATAAAGATTTTTAAGAAAATATCAAGATGATAAATAAAATATCAGCAAAAAAAATTAGTGAAAGAAAGAACTCAGAAATTTTAAGAGAAATTGCTAGATTGAGTGCGCTGAAGCTTCGAATAAAGGCTTTGATTTTGCAAGGATATAGAGCATTTAGAATGAAAATATAAAGTTCTCTTAAAATTTAACATGAAAAAAAAAAAATTAATAAAGGAAATAAAATTTTGAATATTTTAAGTTAAGAGTAGTCCTCAAATCAACATCAAGAGAATGAGGGTATTTATAGCGAAAGTATAAGTTAAGCTAATTTTAAAAAATTATCAATCTAATAATATTTTATTAACTAATAATATAATATTTAACTAAAAATTAATTTATATTAAATAAATAATGATTCAAATAGCTAGTTATATGGGTAAGTCAAAAGTCTCCAAATACATCTAAAAAAATGATAAAAAAAACGGCTAGTTAAAACTTGCAATATTAAATTAGGTAATGCTTGAAAAATCATTATAAATTTAATTTAAATCAAAGTTTGGTCATATAACCTATCAACTTGCATCTACAAAAACTATTGAATCCAATGAAATAAAAAATATGCTAAAATTGAGTGATTATTATATAATATTAATTAATATGAAAATTTATATATATTTAAATCTATTTTGATAGAAAAATATGATTTATTTTAGATAAAATCAGTTATATTAGTAACTATTTATAAGAATTTTAATTTAGAATGGATACATTAAATATACTAAAATTCTAAGCATATAGGCATATATTTTTAATTACCCTAATTAATTATATTTATATAATTTTGGTAAATTTTATGCTATATATAAAGCATCTAAAAATATTATAATTAACTTAAAATTTAATTAATTAAGAAATCCTATTAATATCCAATTTGAGTTTATCATCCTTAATTAATAATAAATATAAAGCAAATTAACATTTTGAGCAAATAAAACCATGCAAATAAACTTCAATGGACGTCTAAGATATTTTAAAACAATTTTAACATGAAATATTATTGCTAAAACTCCAAGCTATTCATTTTGATCAATATTGGGTTCTTTTATGATTACATTTTGATCGAATTTGTGTTATACAATGTATATCCCATATAAGTAGTTATCTAGCACATCAATCAAATCAGAGCACTTGAAATACTTAGCATATAAATTAGAAGATTCATGCATATATTTGCTATCATCAAAATCAATAGAATAGGTCATGAAGATCATAATGTCAATAATCTGTCTTTTTTTAAGATGATAACTTATGTTGGGTATAACTATAATAAATGCACAAATTAACTTTTCATCATAATTTTACACATTCATAAGGGTATATATATGATAATTTAAAAAGTATCATACGCTTTTCAAATATAATTAGTGCATAAAATAAATAGTAATTCTTTCCTTAACTTATGATCAATATATAATTCTTCGTCCCCATTTAACAATGTCAAAAAACAAAATAGAATTCTATTATAAGTTTAAATATTAGGCTCTAACCTCCCAAATATGTATTAATGTGCAAAATCTCTTTTATGCTAATGATTTTATAAAAATATCTGCTATTAATAAATTCCTGTTTACAAAATCTATATCTACATCACCCTTACTAACACGATTTCTAATAAAATAGTGTATAATCTCTATGTTCTTAGTTCATAGGTGTTTTATTGGATTTTTAGTTAAACTAATTGTACTAGTGTTATTACATTTAATTGGCATATATTTTAACTTAATTTCATAACCTTCTAATTATTGTTTTAATTATAGAATTTTTGCAACATAGCTACCTATTGAAAGAATTGAAGGAAGAAAAGAGCCGATGCAGACGTGACACAGAAAAGGAAAGAAAAGGAAAATGTATATATTATTAGATGAGTTACAGAGATACATATTTATAGACTAAGCTATAGAAAGAAGTTCCCATAATTACAAAGAAATCATAAATGAGCTGACATGTCACGGTGCTTTAAGAGACCCCCTCAAATTGAGCATTCGGAGGCCGAATGGTTAATTTGTGTTGAAGCACCTCGAACTGAGTTACGGAAAGAGGCTTGGTGAGCACGTCGGCAATCTGATCGGCAGAGCTGATATGATGAATGTCAATGGATCCCGAGTCAATGTGTTGCCGAATAAAATGATAGTCGGTCTCGATATGTTTTGTGCGAGCATGAAAGACAGGATTATTGGCAAGGGAAATGGCAGAGGTGTTGTCATAATAGATCTTTGTAGGTGAATGTTGTGGGATCTGAAGTTCCTCGACTAGACGACGGAGCCAAAGAACTTCGGTTGTTGCAGCAGCTAG